GCAGCACCAGCTGCCTGTGGCAAATCACATGGATTTTAACAAGGAAAACAAGGAACAGGAAAAAGAACAGGGGGGAGGATCATACCTAGCCAGGGTACCTGTGTTTGAGTCAACCAGTGATGTTCGACTTAGACCTCTAATGGTGCTGCCTCAGTAACCCTCCAGCTGTAGCAATCACTCAGAGAACTCACAGAGGAGGGGAAGTCCCAGAAGGATGCAGAAACACAAAACACCACCTCCTTTGCAGGAAAGTGCACCCTAGGAGGGATGCTCCATTCAAGGGTCAAAATAGCGAGGAGGAAACTACAGCCACTGCAGGTACTTATTAATGGCCTATAGCACAACAAAGTGATTTTGAAACCACATAGCAATAGATCATCTGAGTGGGACCCACGGTGATCTGCAAAGTGAGGGTAGGGACTAGATGCTGGGAAGCCTTTCAAGCTGGAAGGATGCTGCCCCACCAGCACAGGCTGCCTGGAAGCCCTTTAGGAACAAGTTCATGTAACCTAAGGCCAGCCCAAGTCTGCTCACACCTCAGCACAGATGCCATGGTGAAGTGACCTCCCAAAGTTCCTTCAGCCTGTGGGAGGGATTAGGGTGTAGGGGAAAGCAGAACCAGTGCCTGAGTCCTGCAGTGGGATTTACACAAGATGCACACCTAGACTCTGACACAGTCACAGAGAGGCTCACAGCTCCATTACAGATGTGTCCTTGGGATAGCCATGATGCTTGTGTGTTCCTTCTGCTGTTACCTCCCACCCACACAGTGCTGTCCCAAGGGCAAGAATTCCTAGTGTTCCTGAAACCAGCATCTGAATGTCCTGATGCTGTGCTCCACGGGCCCTGGGGTGGGCCAGAGCAGCTAAAGCCCTGCTGCAATTACAAGGTGCTGGGACTGCCTCTGGGAGCCCTGGTCTAGCCAGGGATACTGCCTGCATGGGGACTGCTGCTGCCAGTGGGAAAGGACAGAGGCTGCTTGCTTCCCTAGAAATGAAAGGCTCTTGCAAGAGGAGGGGGCTGATACACAGGCTGTTGCTTGAGTGACCCTGGTCTATACCCTCTATGGTTGAGCAGGCAAAAAAAGCTCTTCCTTGCTCCACGACCCCTGCAACCTTCCCTGTTGGAGAAGGACTGACAAAATCTTCAGCAGGGGAAAGTATTTTATCAGCATGGGGAAACAAAGGGAACTCACTGAATGGGGGGGACAACTGTGTCCCCTCTCCCTACCACCCATCTGTGACCACTTTGCTCCTGGCTTCAAAGTTCCAGGAGAAGGCTCTTTTCCCTAGCCTGGTGCAGTCACAGCTGGTGACAGATCACAGAGGCAGCTTCACAGGATGGCCTTTGAAAAGCCACCTGACATGAGCAGCTGCCTTCCTGCTGTACCCTTTGCTCCCTGTCTGTCCGTGCAACCAGCTCCCTGGACCAGCAGGTTGGATCATGGCAGCTGCTCCCTGCTTTGCAGTGGGTCCTGCTGGCCTTCCCAGGTGGCTGCTGCTGGCAGCACGTTGGATCAATGATGGTGAACATCAAGAGGAAGCTGGGCATTTCCAGCTGTCTTATTAGGCTGGGAAAACAAAATGGTTTGGTTTATTTTCTCCACATATCTTTATCTTCGTGGCTGGTTCAGGCCTTTTAATGCAGACCATGAAGGCTCAGCAAAGCCCTATATCAGCTTTTTTTCCTTTGGGCACTTGCTCTTGTGCTCTCAGGTATTTCCAAGAAGGGTATTTTTTTAATTTTTTTTTTTAATGTTTCTTTTTTTTTCATTCCTGCATTAACCATTTTGTGCAGCTCCTGCAATAGAGATGAGGCTCTGAGCCTTTATTAACCACAGCCCAGCTGTTTGATGGAATCCAGCTTGCTAAAACCAGTGATTGCTACCCCAGATTTCCAGGCCACCAAACCAAGGCCAAACCTTAAGCAAAGTCTGGGTACTTCTGTTGCAACCATCCCTCTCAACACACCCGACTGCTGCCATTTGCAAGGGAGGTGCATCCCACACCCCAGCAGTTCCTGCTCCTCCCTAGCCAGCCTCCTAAAGGCAGCTCTACTCCTCCACCAAGCCTTCTCTTCAGCCCACCCCTTGCTTTACCCCCACTTTTCATTCATCCAGGACTTCTTGTTGAAATTAAGTTTTTTTTCAGCTGCACTTGGGACTCATTCTTAATACATGGTCTCCCATCCATGAGGTGCAGTCCTCAGTAGGGGATTGAGTTCCCTCTTGTACCAACATTGGTCTACGCCTCCTTGCAGTCTCTGTGTCTAAGCCACTATTTCTGGAAAGCTGCTAAAATAGCCCACAATGAAGTCATGTTTGTTCTTCCAGGACTTCAAAAAAAAACAGAAGCCCCACCTCTGTTTGGATGTTGACCTCCACACTGACTGCCCATTCCTGCCATGGGATTTTGCCACAGAATAATTCTGCCTGAACTCCTTACCTTGCCAAGGTCACCAGCATCCCCATCCAGCAGCCACCTTCCAGCCCTCTGGCAGGATTTTTCCCCCTCACTTCTTCCTAGTGCTTTCCTGCTTGCCACTGAATTGCTGTGCCTGCTCATCTCTCTGGAGACTCACCTCTGGGTTGGGAAGCATGGAGTAGCTGGATGCTCCCAGCCCTGCAGCTCACTGCACTTCTTGCAGCCTGTTCCCCCCTTGCCCCTTGCTCTCTGCTCCAGGGTGATCCAGTGAGCTGGCAGCTGGCACTCAGCCTCCACCCCTTGCTCCATTGCTGGGCTTTCACCAGCCACCTGACACTGCAAGGGCAATTAGGGCCATCCCTCCATCCTACAAACCAGGGGTGCTCTGTGGCACTGGGAGCTCATCAGAGGCAGGGAATCAGCACGGGGCCCCCTCAGCCTTGGCCCTGGCGTCAGACTGACTTGCCAAGCCAGCCATCCCCACGGGATGCAATTAGCAGGCTGCTGCCAGCCGTGGGTCAGCGCTGATTTGCCAGCCCCCACGCTGCACACAGACCAGGCCAAGCTGTTCCCTCTGGGCCTGGCTGCTTCCATCAAGAAGATCCTGCAACCCCATCACCCTGAGCTCGCTCCGAATGGCAATTGGGTTGGAAAGCTCCTTGGGTCTTGTCTTTGACTTCAGGGATTGAAAAGCTCCTCTTGCCAGCATTGTTGTCACCACTTTCAGTTCTGCTCCTCGGGCAATCCTCTATGTCCCATATAAACCATTTGAACATATTTTTAGCAGGCATTTTTTTCTGAGCCTCGTAGGCTTCTTCCTTTGCTGTGTTTATGAACAACTCATTGCTTCCCTGGGAGCAGTCTTACATCCCCCTTTCAGCCCAGCAGACTCTCAGTGCACTCAGGCATTTGCACAGAGCAGCTCTGAGCTGTCCCCAGGGAAAGTGGGGGGCTCACTGCTGGAGCCTCAGCAAACCCTCTGCCAAGGGTCACGTCTCTGCATCACAGTGCACAGATGCAGAAACCCCTCAATAAACAGTTTTAAACGGGTGAAACAGTCTATTTTTCGTCACTCTCAAGGAAAAGCTGCAGCAGTTGAGCTGCAAGTGTCCCCTCTCTTCCTGACAAACCCCAGCTAAGGGCTGACAGTCTGTAAAGAGAAAAGAAGGCTTGTCCTAAGAGCCTGTGGTGCTGTCAGTGGGAGAACTGGGACAGCTAATGGGAAGCATCCAGCAATGCACCCACAGTCTCCCCCTGCCTGATCTACTGCGGGCAGGGGGACCTTCCCACCCCCTGCCCTTGCTGAGCCTGTGCCCTCATAGACACCCAGCACCGGGTTTCCTTTGGTTTTGCCTGCAATGTTATCCCTCCTTCCTTCGGTGTACACAGCACACGAGCCTTGGCTCTCCCCATCCTTCCCTAGTTACAACGTCCTGGAGCAGGAGGAAGCTGCAGATGAAGCATAGATGTGGAGCAGCAGCCCAGTCTCTAGGAGCTGGGAAGATCCTGAATTAGACCAGGGAGCACAGCAGGATACCTTTATCTCCCAGCATGAGGTCTGGCTGTACTCTCCTGCCTGCAACCAGGGATTCCCAACAACACAAACCTGCTTTCTAGCTTTAAATCTGTGGCAATTTCCTCTGCCTTTCTCCCCCTTGCTTGGTCATTAAGAGTTTTGCAGAGGAAATATTATTCCTGAGGGATGAAGTGATTCTCAAATCATGTGGTGGCTCTTCCAGCATTTGCATTCCTTTTATGAAACACATTGGCAAAATGCAGAATCACCGCATATATCCAAATCCAATTTATCTCCATGTTCCTGTCCCCATGGCCTTCTTGGGCAGTACAAATAGTAGCGTGAACCTGGTTGGGGTCTCTATAGAGTGCCCTGGTGATCTTAAAGCTGATGGGAGACCTGCCTGCAGCATCTGCATGGGCTTCATGAGTCCTATTTTTATTTCACCTGCTGCCTCCTGATCAGAGCCACCTCCTCCATCCCTATTGTTCCAGCCCCCAGCTCCCAGCCCTCATTCCTCCACAACATCTGAGGATGGCTCTAACTGGAGGCAGCTAGCAAGCCTCACATGAGCAGAGAAGGGCTCTCAACATGCCAGCCCAGCTACACCAGAGATGCACATGGGAGCAGGAGACACAGCCCTTGTGGGACCTTTGGTGTCACGTTGCACATATCCTTGCTTCCCAAGGATGCTCACTAGGTGCCAGAGGCTCGCTAGCCATCCTGCTTAAATGGGGACCATGCCTCCCTCCATTTGTACCCAACACTTAGGCTCATCCCTGAGGAATGAACTCAAGCCCCTCTAGCACAGAAGGGACCAAAGGCTTTGAGATGCTTTTTTGTCCCTCGTGTTTGGCTGGGTCAGAAAGGGTCTGTTGTGTGCCATGGTGAGAAGAGGGCATTGCCAAGCAGAGGGGATTGGGGTTGTGGCAATGGGTACACTGAGGAAGCATCATTGGCCTGGGGACCGGGTGGTCCTACATGTGAGCTCCTGGCCCTGCCAGCCCCACTGGTGTGCTCTGCCTGTCCCCATCCCTTTCCTCATCCCCATCACAACTTACCCGGGTGGCCAGGCTCTCCTTGCAGTGCAGGCTGATTCCACACTCATCAGTGATCTCAGAGAGGTCTTCATCCTCAAACTCCTCAAGGCTGATGTCGTGGGTGAGCCTGGAGGGAGTGGAGATGGTGTGGTCACCCACCAAGAAGGCAGCGGGCAGGAGGATGCAGGGCAGTTCTCCCAGTCCTTACTGGGAGAAAGACTGGGAAGGGAGCTCCTTCTGGAGGGGATGGGTTTGTCCCTATTGAATGGCTGGGCTTGGCATGGTCTGTGGCTCTGGGAAGGCAGCAGAACTGTGCCCCAAACCAGCTCCTCCCTGACAGAAGCCAGCAGGGATGTGCAAGCTGGGAGAGGATAGGGTAGACACACAGCCAGGAGTTCCCAGGACGTTCACCCTCCACCATCCAAGGGAGGCTCTGGGGTTGTCCCAGCTGAGCACAGACAACCAGCAGAGAAAAGGCCAGGGTTATAGGGAAGGGAAGGCCAGGGGGCCCTGGGAGAGAACAGCTTGGGGTTGGGCCCAGGTGACTGCATCAGGACTCACAGACCTTGCAATCACTGCAAACCTGCCAGCCATGGCACAACCAGCCCCAGGGCCACCAGTGGGAGAGATGTCCCAGCCCAGGTGCCTGCAGTAAGAGAGGGCAATGATTTCCCTCTGTGCCAAATTCACTCCCTGGGGTGACTGTGAGCATCCTCATGGCCATGGGTGCTGCCAAGCCCGCCTGTGTGGCCTCAGGGGTACCTGAGGGCTGTCAGCCCACAGGCTTCTTACACTCTGTTAAAAAGTTCACAGAGATATCCTTTTAGTGGCTGAAAACATGCAAATTAACCAGCTCCTTGTGTGCCTCCTTGCATCCCTGGGGGTAAGGCGAGGTGCTCCAGGCTTCTCTGCATTAAAATATTACTCCATGGTGGTACCACAATGCTCCTCTCACTTACTAATTACAACAGGGGTAAATAAAAGAGTCCAGCACAGAAGTCTCCTGCCAACCAACAAAGCTTCCTGAGTTTTCTCTGGAGCAGTCACGGGTGCTGCTTTGCATGCTGCCATTTCCCTTTGCTCCCAGCTCCTTGGGCTGGGAGGTGCTTGGGTGGAAGCACTAGGCCAAGCCCAGCACCCATCTTCATCTTGGCCCTTGCTGGTGGGGAAGGAAGGAGAAGGGTATTTTGTGACTTGCAGAGGTCCCACCCTCACTTTAAGCATCACTTGCACACCTTGGGGCTCATCCTGTGCAGTGGCACCATGCCAGTGCCACGGAGGGGCAACACTTCCCATATCCCAGCCCCCAGCGGGAGGGAAGGAGCAGGAGAAGACTGTGAGGGTAGTGGTATCTCCTCTCCGTGCTTCCAATAATCCTGCCAGCAGTGGGCTCCCTGGGATGAAGGGGGCTGGAAACATCTGTGCCCATGGAAGCGGCCCCAGTGAGATGCACAGAGGAGGGCAGACACAGCTTTCAGCACACAGTGGGGTCTCCAGACCCCCCCTCCACCCATCTCCTGCTGCTGCCCACAGGAAGAAGAGAAAGCAGAGCAGAAGGCTTATGAGGAGCCTTCAAAGCACAAATTGATTTCTTCTCTGGTTACACAGGTCAGGGTGGGCCCCCACCAGCTGCTAATGCTCAGGGCATCCACCCCCTCCACAGCCTGAGAGTGCAGTGGAGGCTGTGGGGTCCTGGCAAGTGGGGCAACACCGCTGAGGGGCTGTCAGGGGCTCCTCAGGTCTGCAGGAGCAGCTGGGGTGGCTGGCAGTGCTCCCATTCCGGGATGGGGACAGCCATCCCTCCTGGGGATGGGGAGATGCTGTGCAGGTGCCCAGCACCGGCGCTGCCCGCGGGTGCAGGTGGGCGGCAGGATGGGTCCCGCTGCCTGTGCCACCCCAGCAC